CGGCGGCAGCGCGGCCGCCAGCAGCCCCGGCGCCGCCACTGCCGCCGCTGCGCGCGGGCGCGCAGCCGCTCCGCGCCTGGGCGCAGCAGCCGGCCGCTCCGCGGCGGGCGGCGGGCTCTTGATGACCCCCAGAACCAGCGGGACGCCAGAGGGGTCATGGACGAGGGCAAACAGGAATGGCCTGTCAAACGTGACCCGCGGCGGGGGCTCCGCGTTGCGGCGGGCGGACGTCTCCACCATCACGACGGCGGTGGCGGCCGCGGCCTCTGTGCCCTCCTCGTCGACGTTTAGTATGATCTGTGGATGGTTGAAGGTGCGTGTGTGCATGTGTGTGTGTGCGTGTGTGTGACAGTGCATGCTTGCATAAGACGGTGTGATGATGATTGTGTGTGTGTGTGTGTGTGTGTGTGTGTGTGTGTGTGTGTGTGTGCGTGCGTGCGTGCGTGCGTGCGCGTCGTGTGCAAGGTTAAATTCAACATTTAGAGTGCAAAAAAGTGATGAGAAGTGAATCCGTCCAGGGAGCACCAGCCAGGCAGAGGTCAATCTAAGGGGTGACAACGCGCTGGGGCTGGCAGCAGCAGAACGCCTTCCACGCACCGCAAACACTCATCGACGAGCGGGCTCATCAAGAGCGCAGCCGCGCACCTCCTGGATGACGTCAGACACGACCAGCGGCCTGGCGGGGTCCCCCTCCGCGCGCGAGAAGTCGGCCGCCTTCTCCGCAAACGCCGCCTCCACGCCAAGCTTCTTGAGGGGGTCCACCAGGCTCACTTTGGCGCGCAGCTTGAAGCGCGGCAGCTGCAGGACGAGCCCCTTCGGCCCCGCCGGCCGCCACAGCGCGTCGGGCGCCGAAGCTTTCACCGCGCCGGCGCCACCCGGGAGGGGCGCAAACAGGCCGGCCGCGGGCGCCTTGGGGCCAAGCAGCAGCGGCAGCAGGGACTCTGGGCCCGCGGTGGCGTTGGCTGGCAGGATGGCAATGGCGCTGAAGTTGCCACTGCGGTACGGCAGCCGGACGGCGGTAAAGCTTCCGGGAAGCTGCGCGGTCAGGACCTCCCCGCCACCAAAGACGTGTGACATCATCGACACCTGTTGCACGGACGAGGTTGTATGAAGTGGCTGTGTGCGGCTTGTGCTGGCATGTGCTTTGCCAGTCGAGCCTCGGCCAGTCTGCCATCTCTGGAAGACGCAGCAAAGGGAATTTACTAATGCCTGCACAAGACAATATACATGCGTGCATACATGATACAACGGTGTGCTGCAGGGAAGGGGGGATATCGCCCGCTTAGCAGTGTATGGGTCGGCACAGGGCCACAGCTCCAGCGACTGGGTGTGGGCCCGTGCCCACCCACCCCCTCAAATACATAAATGTACTGCCCCTGTCCCGCCCCGCGCGCCTGCTGCTTGACGCCCTTGGCTGTTGTGAAGGTCCACGGCCGGGTGGCCCTCTCCTCAAACCGTGTGCGCCACTTGCCCTTGAAGTACAGGGCATCGGCCAGCACCACGTCGAAGGGCGTGCCCGGGGCCAGCAGCTCGGGGATCAGGCCCTGGGTGACATTCTTGGCCCACGCGTTGATGTCTGAGACGCTGTTGGCGGTGGCCGCGGTGGCCTGCCGGCGGTGGGGGGCAGGGCGTTGAACGGAAGGGAAAATGATGAGTAGTAGGGGAAGCAAAGGAAAAGCGGGCATAGGGCAGGGGGACTTCCGACCAGGCCCACGCCCCGCTTGTTCATGCACCAGCAGTTGACCGCTCGAAGCTGTCTGACTGTCGTCGCGCCGCCCTGTCCTCCATTGATTCCCCGCGCGCCCCACCATGCCTGATTGCAATCGCCCCAAAGGCCCCCTCCCCAACCTGGAACGCCTTCTTCATGGCGTCGACATAGCTCTTCTTGAGGGGCACCCCCTTCCTGGTCCAAACGCTGTTGGCAAGAAGAACCTGCTCCCCTGTGGTGCCAGCACCACCGCCGCGACCACCACCGCCGCCGCTGGGCACCGCCGCCAGCAGCCGCGACAGCTCAGCGTTGGCGGCCTGCTCCAGGGCGGCCCCCGTCCCGACCAGGGTCCGGTTCTGGGTCAGGGCGCGCAGCAGCTCGGCGTGGGTGGTGCTGGGAAGGCCTGAGGAGGGGCGGTGCAGGGAGGGTGCCTTGTAGCCACCGCATGAAGGCAGCACGCAGGGACAAGCTCAGCAGGGGATGACCCTGCCGCGCCCACGGGGTGCCACCACAACCCGCACGCGCTGTGTCAGCGTGGCCGCGGGCACGGCTCATGGCTTGATGTCAGCAATGCCCTCATGCTGGCCCTCTTTCAACTTTGCACTCAGCCCCAGCCCAACGACAGGATGGGTGCGCCGCTTCCACCCACCCGCTGCGTTGAGTGCCAAGGTCAGCGCAGCGGCGCCACTCAGCGGTGACACCAGCGGGTTGGTGTCTGCCGGCTGCGTGTCTAGCCTAACCAGCGCCTGCAGCAGCGCCAGGCCAAAGGCCGTAGCGTAGGCCAGCGCGGGAGCCATGACCAGCAACGAGATGCAAGATCGAAGCTGTGCGGTTGTTTGAGGCGCCAAGTAAATAATATGATTGACGTCAATTCTGGATTGCGGGTCAAACACGGCCGCTGGCAAGGTTGTCGCCTTCGCGGTCGTGTAGAGACTCTGCCTCCGCTCCCGGCAGAAGGCGAGCAGGGTGACGGGAATCGCAGTCTTGACAGGAAAATGATGGCGAATTGCATACATAATTCACATGCGCGCCTCACCGCCTGATGGGTTGGCCGCTGACGCTTGGCCTGGCCGTCACCCATCAGGTGTCACCCGCAAGCCGCATGTGAACGCTCAGCAATTGGGATTGACTCCAACAATTGACAAGCCATCCTGCAGCCTACCGTGCAGGTGATTGATTGTATCGCGCGGTCCTGGAGCGGGTACGAGTGGGGATACCCCAATCGATTTGGGCACACTGCTGCCTGCCACATTTGCCGTGTGCGGTGTCTTTGATGGTGACCACTCTGGGCGCCTCACGATAACACACATATGATATCGTTACTGCATGCATGCTACGTTGGAGTTGATGTATATGAAAAGCACAAGCAACATCCCACAATGCGAGTCTACCCGACTGGATGACCTGGCCTGCGGCCAGGCCAAGGGCGCTTACACTTCCCAGACAGGGTCGCGCTGATATCGCTGCAATGCCCACTGCGCGTGAACCCAACAAAACACAAACCTGCCTTTGTTGTAACCTGCACAGCCCTACGTGTCAATCTTCAGCGACATCACAGCAACTGTTTGAGTTACGGTTTTCCAGTTCTAGGATCAGTGTTGCTCCATCGGACGCGCGTAGGCCAAGGGGTGTGTGTGCAGAACATGACCGCTTCAGTCTCCAAACCAGCTCAGCGGGCTACCCTCATTGGCGTAGATCTATCAAAATCACGACATACAATGCGCTCTGCGATGAGACAGGACCCTGCAGTTCACCGGCATCCAATATTACGGCGGGATCACCCCCTGGGAGGCAAAGAGTAGGAAGATGCTGGCGGGCGGACATGAGGAACCACGTGCATTTGGCGAGCTTGTGAACACAGGGTGCCACAGATGAACAATGCAGCCAAGACCCGCTTGAGGGGCTCTCATGCACACTAGGCTGTTCGCAATATGTACCCTTGAACACACTAGTTGCTGCATCAAAGGCAGCCTTGATCAGCCACGAGCCGTGACACACGCGGTCCGATGCCACGCTGCAGGGATTGAAGCCCGCACCCTGCGCGGAAGTTGTCAACGCTTCAGGTCAACAGCGTCCTCAAGTTACACCTCCCAGGTGTGTGTGGCCTACTGGCACCAATGCACATGTATCATGGACTACATGTCACAGATTGCCGCGTCATTGCCGACTTCTTCCGCAGTCGCAGGGGGAGCAGCTGCGGGCAACTGATGTTCGTATCACCACTTGCGACACCGTCTGGTGCCAATCAGGATCGTCTTCGCATTTGCGTATGTCTCGTTTTCATCAATGTTTGAGTACGTAATCGATCTCGCTCGACATCGTCACTTCATCACTAGCATCGCCCCTTTGCAGCCCGCAAGCCGTACATCGTCGTAGACGTTATCCATGGCTCCCGCGCTGGCGTACGCCACGGCCTTTGGCCTGGCGCTGCTGCAGGCGCTGGTGGGGCTGGAGACGCAGCCAACGGACACCAATGCGCTCACGTCCCCGCTGAGCGGTTCCGCGGCGCTTACGATGGCCCTCAACGCTGCAGGTGGGCGGTGGCGCAGTTGGCGGTGCCGCCCCATGCCACCTGCGTTTCATGAGCCGCCGCTGTGCACGACCCGCGTGCTGTGGTGCTGCCCAGTAAGCGCCGCGCAGGTGTTGACACATGCGGCTGCCGGCTGCTGCTACTCCTTCCCGGGCCCTTCCATAGACGCTGTCATGGTCCCACACCTGTCACAACTTCCCCTCCTCAGGCCTTCCCAGCACGACCCACGCCGAGCTGCTGCGCGCCCTGACCCAGAACCGGACCCTGGTGGGCACAGGGGCCGCCCAGGAGCAGGCCGCCAATGCTGAGCTGTCGCGGCTGCTGGCGGCGGTGCCCAGCGGCAGCGGCGGCGGCAGCGGTGCCGGCGCCACGGGGGAGCAGGTTCTTCTGGCCAACAGCATTTGGAGCAGGAAGGGGGTGCCCCTCAAGAAGAGCTATGTGGATGCTATGAAGGCGGCATTCCAGGTTGGAGAGGGGGCCTGTGGAGGGGAGGCGTGATCGTGGCACAGGACGCTTGGACGATGACGGGCTACAGATTGACCAGCTGCTGTCAGCGCACTGCACATCAGAGGGAGGAGGATTGGATGAACAAAGGCTTGCGTGCACGCGCAGTGCCCAGGCCCAGATTTGAGCTGGCCCGAGCTCTTGATTACTGCATCACTCCTGCAGTGGCTTTCTCACGGCACCCGAAGAGCCACTCAACTGGAAACCTCCCAAACCTGTACGCCTCTCCCCGCAGGCCACCGCGGCCACCGCCAACAGCGTCTCAGACATCAACGCGTGGGCCAAGAACGCCACCCAGGGCCTGATCCCCGAGCTGCTGGCCCCGGGCACGCCCTTCGACGTGGTGCTGGCCAATGCCCTGTACTTTAAGGGCAAGTGGCGCACACAGTTCGAGGGAACGAGCACGCGGCCGTGGCCATTCACAACCGCCAAGGGCGTAAAGCAGCAGGTGCGTGGGCTGCCGCAGAACCAAAATCGGGCAACGGCAGGCTTGCTTGGCTTCGCTGCTTCGCCTCATCTGCTCCGTCCGCATCGATTTCAGTTATCATCGCTGTGCAGCAGGGGCTTTTGTGCTTGTTTTCGCGGCAGTTGACGCATGGCCGCTCGCAGCAGTGTTTTCTGGTAGAAGACACTATGCAAGTTCACGCCCACAGGACCACGGCGCCGTCTTTCACAACGCCGCGACCGCAACGCAATGCAACAGGTGTCGATGATGTCACACGAATTCCGCGCCGGCCAGGTCCTGACCGCGCAGCTGCCGGGCAGCTTCACCGCCGTCCGGCTGCCGTACCGCAGCGGCAACTTCAGCGCCATTGCCATCCTGCCAACCAATGCCAGCGCGGGCCCAGAATCCCTGCTGCCGCTGCTGCTCGGCCCCAGGGCCCCCGCGGCCGGCCTGTTCGCGCCCCTCCCGGGCGGCAGCGGCGGGGTCAAATCTCTGACGCCCGGCGCGCTGTGGGCGCCGGCGGGGCCGAAGGGGCTGATCGTGCAGCTGCCCAGGTTTAAGCTGCGCGCCAGGATGAGCCTGGTGGATCCCCTCGAGAAGCTGGGCGTGAAGGCGGCGTTTTCTGACGCCCAGGCAAATTTTGAACGTGCGGAAGGGGACCCCACAAAGCCGTTTTACGTGTCGGACGTCGTCCAAGAGGTGCGTGGCGCGCCTTCGGCCATCGCAGCTACCCCCCGCTTGCTGGCTGCGCCGCTGCTGCTTGCCCCAACGCTGGCTATATATGCTGGGCGTGTGCCGCTTGGCCCTCTCGTCAAGGGTTGCCCTCTTGCTTGAATCAACCCCTCGTGGCGTGTGCGTGCTCGGCTACTCTGACGCACCGTTTCAATCGCTCCGAATGAATGGTGGTGTGTGCACGCCGATCATTCCCTGCACAGCCCTGAACTTGCAAATTGTAACCGATGCCGCCCCGCAGGTCGTTCTTGATGTCGACGAGGAGGGCACAGAAGCTGCCGCCGCCACCGCCGTAGTCATGCGCACGACCTCCGCAATGATCGACTACGAGCCCCCGCCGCGCATCACGTTTGACCGCCCGTTCCTGTTTGCCCTCGTCCATGACCCCTCTGGCGTCCCACTGGTTCTGGGGGTCATTAGGAGCCCGCCGCCTGCTGCGGAGCGGCCGGCACCCGTGCCCGGGCGCGGGGCGGCGGCCGCCGCGCCTGGCTACGTTTCGAACCCGGCAGCAGCTGTGAGCAGCGGCCCAAATGGGCCCGTGCGGGTGGTCCGCGTGCAGCCGCGGAGCGTGCTGCCAGCTCTGGGGGCCGAGACACCATCTGTGCCGCCCTTTCAAGCCACAGGGGGACGCCGGCGTTTGCTGATGCGTGGCCGTTGATGGCGCTGCTCGTTGCAGCCCCAGTGGTCGCGCCCCCCGTGGCGCGACGTGCCTAGGCCTGGGGTTGCGACATTGCGTGCATTTTTTGTAACGGGTTGTGATCATGTCTCAGATTTGGGATTTGCATACGTAGGGAGAACAGAAACCCTGGATAATACCATCCGTTGATGTGGATTGCCAATCATCGTGGTACTGTTCTCGGTCTTCTGCCCGCAGCAGGAGCGTGATACAAACCTGGCTCTAGTAACGTTTGAGACACCAGATGTTATATTGCAGCTCGACCCAGCTGCGCAGAGTGCACCAGGCTGACCAACACCACAAATCAGCCACCCTGCGCTGTGTGTGCTGCGCCTTCATGAGGCGCGGACTTGTGAGTCCGCAGCAGGCCACTGAGGGCGATGCGCGCAAATGCATCCGCTCATTGAAACTTGCAACAGAACCTGTGTGCTTTCGTGTTCGTGTCCAGTAGTGTACGGTAACCCGTAGTGCCAATCACAAGGTGCGAGGATCGTGGGGGGGCCGCGCATCCATGTACACCATAGACGGGATCTCCGTGCGTCATAAGCCTTTGCTGTCACAAACGCGCACTGGAGGACGTACATGCCGGCTGCGATTGCGCTTTCGACGCTGTGTTGCTGAGGTCGTCAGTGTTGATGCTGCACACGCCGACGCCCGCATCAAGTCGCCGCATCAACCCCCTGCTCGCCGCCTGCAGCCAATGGGTGATACATCCCTTCAAAACAGCAGCCAAAAGGGCCGGTGCAGCTGCACTAGCAGATGCACCAGCAGAACATCGTCGCTGGTGCCCCCGTCGCTGGTCCTGGTGCTGCTCGCGGCCGCTACCGCCGTGCCGTTCGCGGCCGGCCAGTCGGAGCGCGCCTCGCTGCCCCTCTCAGAGCTCTCCAAGCCCGGCCGCGTGCTGATGCTCCGCCACGCCAACGCGCCCGGCACCGGCGACCCCCCGGGCTTCCGCCTCGGCGACTGCGCGACGCAGCGCAACCTCGACGCGGCCGGCCGCGCGCAGGCGCGGGCGACAGGCGCTGCGCTGCGCGCCGCGCTTGGCGCCAAGGTGGTGTCCGCCAAGGTATACACCAGCCAGTGGTGCCGCGCCGAGGAGACTGCAAAGCTGCTAGGCCTCTCCAAGGCGCAGCCGCTGCCCGCCCTCAACTCGTTCTTCTCTGACCCCTCGAGCTCGGAGAAGACGCTTGCGGGGCTGAGGGCGTTCCTGGCGGGGCTGCCACAGAACGGGCCGCCGGTGATACTGGTGACCCATCAGGTGAGAAAACTACTACCAGGGGGCGGCTTGGGGTCTGAATATGGGGTCCTATTTTCATGCGTGCCCAGAGTCCTTGCTCAATGGATGCAATTTTGGGGCAGTCATAAACATGGCTAGACAGCGCTTTAGCTGCGCTGCTGCGCACGAGGCTTTGCACGCTCGACTGCGGCTCAGCCTGTGGCGCACCCCCTTTTCCTGGCAGCCGTCCACCTGGCTCCGTGTCATCTGCAACCTCTCAAACCCCCCTATTCAGGTCGTCATAAACTCACTTACCAGTGCGTTCCCAGAGTCAGCAGGCGGCAGCATATTCCAGCTCAACGGGTCTGGGGCGCCGCGCTGGGTGGGCGCCGTGCGGCCAGTCGCATGACGCGCGACGAGTGCATAGCAGGGCAGCTCCGCGGCGCTCGCCGAACCACGCTTGTCAAGCTGGATGGATACACGTGTAACCTAATACACCACCACACAGGGTGTGGGATGTGCTCTGCGCCACCTTGCGTCTTCCAGTAACATGCTGCCTAAGCCAAATTAGCAGTCAACTTCTGGTCAACCCGCAAATGGCAGCTGACATTACAAGCGCAAATGAAGGCGCATGCACATGCATCAATTGAGATATCAACCAGCTTGGCTGTCATCTTGCAGTTTCTGTGCAAGGGCGGCCATGACGACCTGGGCTGGCCTGTTGACGGTCCTCACCCAGGCTTCGTCACCCAGCAAACTGGACACGGACCATTGCTCTGAACGATGCCCGACGCACAATCAGTTTTGAGAGCTAATTCATTGATACTCATCAACGCAGCCTGCGCTGACGCCTGTACACGCAGCATGGCGTCGGGCAAGGCCCCGCCCGTGGCAGGGCAGCCTTTTCGCCAGCTCAAGTGCATTTCTAAACAGACATTAGCGGTCCTGGACGCTCAGGGGTTTGTCAGCTGCACCCCTGTGCAGGAGGCCACGATCCCGCTGCTTTGCGGCAACAAGGACGTGGCCGTGGACGCCTGCACGGGGTCAGGAAAGACGCTGGCATTTGTGGTGCCCGTGATAGAGAAGCTGCGGCGCCTGGACGAGCCGCTAAAGCGTCACCAGGTGCGCGCTGTTTCGGCGGCCGCCGTCGCTGCTTTGATGCAACCCCGCGCCGCGGCGCTGAGCGTTGCCTATGCGCTACAGCAGGCGCGCGCATGTACACAGTACTGCATAAGAACCTTATTCAGTGAACCACGATCGCTGCCGGCGCCGCTTGTCATGCCGCCTCACAACAGCCATGCCTGGGCCATGGGCACTGCTGCACTCTCCCTTTTTGCACCGATCGCCAGCCCACCAGCCCGCACCTGCACATGCACTTGCCTGCTGAGACGTACTCTCGCGCACACACTTACACAAAGATACACACGTGCACACACACACACACGTGCACCCACACGCGTGCACGCTCAACCCCAAGGTCGGAGCGATCATCGTATCCCCCACGCGCGAGCTCGCGCGCCAAATCCACTCTGTGATGGCCCCATTCGTGGAGTCCCTGCCGGGCGCAAGCTGCCTGCTGCTTGTCGGTGGCACGTGAGCACTAGGGAGGGGCAGAAGCAGCGTGCGAGGGGGTGCCCGGGAGGATGCTCTAAGCAGGCGGTCTGCAGGCGGCGCTGTGGGGCTGCCGGCTGCCCGCCCGCCCGGCCGAGCGGCGGCGGTGCGACCTCGAGCTCTCGACCCCCGCTGCAGGATGGTGGTGGCAGCCGATGGCGTGCCGGATGCTGCCGTGGCCGCCAGCCGTCGCGCGCCTGCCGCGATGCTTGGCCACAAATCAACGCGATCGTCGCCTCTGCTCCTGCCTCGCGCCCAGTTTGCCGGCCCACAATCGCATCCGAAACCCCAACTCAGGGACCCGGCGGCTGACGTGGCGCTGTTCAGGGAGCGGGGCGGCCAGATTCTGGTGGGCACCCCGGGGCGCCTGGACGACATTCTGAAGCGCTGCGCGGACCTGGACCCGAAAAGGCTGGAGGTGAGGCGTGCTGCTGCCGTTCAGTTGGATGCTTGTTTCATTGTTAAGGGCCTTGCGGCGCGGCGGCGCGCCGCGGCGCGGCGGGAACGCCGGGATTTGGGCAGGCCGGAGGTGCGCGGTCACGGCTGCAGAGTCCCCAGGGCCGCTGAAAGTGATTGTTCGGGCCGTCGGCGGCGGCGGTTGCGGAAGCGGTTGCGCGGTGGCATGACAGGGAGGGTGAGAGAGTAAGGCCGTGCTGCACCCTGTCTCTGGTGGCGGCAGCCTCTCTTCCATAACACACTTTCAAGCAAATCACTGGTGAATGTATGATCACGCCGCCCATGTGCGTGATTCATACATGGATGTTTGGTGTTTATGTTGTGATCTTGACTTCTTGATGTGATCTCGACTACTTGATGTGGTGTTGACAGGTGCTGGTGCTTGACGAGGCTGACCGCCTGCTGGACATGGGGTTCAAGGCGCAGCTGGACGCCATCATGGGGCGCCTGCCGCGGCAGAGGAGGACGGGGCTGTTCTCCGCCACACAGACGGTGCGTTGGCGGTGGGGCGTGCATGTGTGTGTGTGTGTGTGTGTGTGTGTGTGTGTGTGTGTGTGTGTGTGTGTGCCCGTGTAAATATGTGTGTGTGATTGAGTGGCGACGAGCGCGGAACAAAGCTCGCATCGCAATTTGTATCAGGCAGCAGCATGACTGGTCGGCCCGCGGCAGTGCATCGTGCGTGTCAGGCCACATGCGCTTGATGGCGGCGCGGCGCAAACCGGTTGACCACCTTTGACCGCCACGCCCCCCGTCCTCGCGGGTCCCTGCAGGAAGCTGTGGAGGCGCTGACGCGTGCCGGCCTGAGAAACCCCGTGCGTGTCGCGGTCGCGGTCGCGGCGGCGCCCGCGCCGGCGGCTGCGGCGGCCGCGGCGCGCGGTAAGAAGGGGAAGGAGGGCGAAGCGGCGGCGGCAGAGGCGGCGGGGGCCGGGGATCAGGTGACGCCGGCGTCGCTACAGCTGCAGTACTTGATCTGCGAGGTGGACGAGAAGATGGGGCAGCTGGTGAGAAGCTGCTGTGGTGTGGTTTCGGTTCAAACGAGTCGTTCATGGGCCCGTATCATCTGGACGTGGGATAGAAGCCGCTTGCAGGCGCTGCGGCCCCACTTGGTGCGAAGGGCACGGGCCAGTGCGGCAACGGCCACGGCCCCCTGCCTCTGTCAAACAAGTCTGCCGACCCCGCCTCTACCTCTTCCCAACACCCTC